AACAACACAAAAAAACTGCATGATGAAAATAACTCTCTTGGTTGGCACACACAAGATCTGCAATCCATGTTGCCGCGTGCTTGAGCGGAGCAAGCCGAGACGCCGGGCGTCATGGCAGAGTCAAGACGGGCCTGCTCTTCTCTCCTCCCCCCTCGGCCGCCGGGTGCCCTCGCGGGGGGGGGGGGGGGCTCGGGCCCGTCGAAGCGCCACTCGGGATGCCCTGGGGCACGGGTTGAGGGGGCCATGCGTTGAACAACAAGCATCAGGAGGGGAGAAAACACACAGACACAAGTAATCCTCCACTCCCAGGAAAATATGGGAAAATATGGGAAGTGGGGGGGAAGACAAAAATCAAGAAAATATTGGAAAATATGGGGAATCTGGTTATTTGTGTGTATTTATTTGTGTGTCCCAATTTCCCTTCAAAGCAGGGTATCGGACGTCTTGTTTCAGGGAGTCTTTTTGGAAGCCCATACGCAATACACTTGTTTTGCATGTTTGTAGAGGCCACGAGATGCCGCCGAGGGCCACCGAAGGCCGCTAAAGGCCGCCAGGTCCTCCTAAAGGTCGCTGAAAGGCCACTGAAGGCCGCTGGAGGCTATGACACCGAGGCGGCATCATTTTGGCTCAGGCTGTTCTTCTTCCAAGCACCGCAGGCTCAGGCATACAGTTTCCGCGCGTCATCTCCCTTCACAATGTACCGCAATCTCCGCCCGGCCGCCCTGAACATGACCGTTATCCCTGGCCTGCACTTATCCACGGCCGAGGCCCAGCCGAAGCCCAGCGGCTACAAGAGCCTCCGGCCCGCTCCCCTGAACATGGCCCTGGTGCCTGGGGTGCACCACTCGACGGCCAATGGCAGGTGGCCGTCGACGCCAGACGAGGACGCCCGCGCGTGCTCGCCGAAGCCCTGCGACCCGCAGGCCGTGGACGACTCGCTGGACACCTGCAGCACGGCGGCCGACGGCGAGAGCCTCGCGTCCTTCGGCGAGGACGTGGCCTCCGACCCCTGCGAGGAGCCCGCCCGCGGGCCTCTGGCCCGCGGCTCGCCGGCCTCGCTGCTCGCGAGGCCCGAGGCCGGCGGGCCCCCGTCGCCGTTCCGCCGGAGGCTGCGGGCCAGGCGCTGGAGCGCAGCACGGCAGGCGGCGGAGGTGCTCTCGCCGTTCCGCGTGGCGCAGCGCCAGCGCGCCCTCGCCCGCTGCCTCCCTGCCGTGCCGCCAGGGCGTCGCGTGCCCGACGCGCCTGTCGGGGTTTTCGCACGCCCAGAGGGCTCGCGCAGGGCTCCGCGGCGCGGCCGCTGCTGCCCGGCAGACGTTTCGGGCGGGGGAGGGTGCACTGATCTTCGGAGGAGCTCTGAACGGTTCTACGGATTCGGCCGTCCAGGCTTGGTTGATGCTGCCGAGCACGTGGCCTCAGTCGTTCCGTCCTTGGGCTACAGGGCAGCGCAACAATATTATTCCGAGGCGGACGGAGCCATAGCGAAAGCGATGCTGTTCTGGATGCCACACCATGACGAACGGGTTCCCAACGATGCAGCAGTTTTTCGCCGAGCGAGGTCTTTCAGCGACTGCTTGCTTTCTCCGCCGACTCCTCCTGTCCGTCCTCGTCCTCCTATAGTCCGCCGCTCCGCCCGACCAGCGAGCTTTTCCAGCCGCAGGCCAGCCTGTGGCGCGCGCGCGCTGGCACTGCGGAGCTCGGCTGCAGCACGCTCGGGCCGTGTTCGCCCCACGTCCTCTCGATCTCCTCCTCTTCGTCCTCTTCCTCCTCGATCTCCTCTTCCTTCTCCTCCTCGACCATCGCCATATATCTTGCGAGTGCTCGCACAGGGGGGGTCGCTGGGCTTGAGCTCTGAAGCCCAGAATCAATGGAAGAAGCTTACGGCTGCTGCTGCTGGAGCTAATGGATTGGATGCCCCAGGCTCATGATCCCATGCTGAAAGACAGCATTACGAATGATACTTTTACGCCTTGCTGTCGATCGTTTGACAGTGCGTTTTGCACGTGCAAGGCGTTTCTCTCTTCCTCTCCCTTTCTCTCTCTCTCTCTCTCTCTGCTCTGGCCTATCCTCTCTTCCCTTCAGCCTCCTTCTGCCTCTCTCCCCCACCCCTCTCTCTTTCTCCGCTGTCCCCTTCCTGGTTCACCGTCAAAATACTCTCTGCAGGATCCTGTGCTTCTTTTTCCAGCAGAGGGCCCACGGGTTTCATGCTGAAGCCTCCAACTTAGAGTTGGGCAGATCATTTATTTAATCGCTTCGCTCATTCTGCCGGCCCTGGAGCGCTATTTGGGGCCTCTTGGGGCCGTCTTGGGGGCCTCTTCGGGGCTTCTTGGGAGCGTCTTGGGGCTCCTCGGCGGCGTCTGGGGCTCCCCTGGGGCCTCTTGGGGGGCTCTTGGATGCCCCTTGGGGCGGGAGGGGGGGTAGTCGATTGCAGCCAGCCCCTCGGAGGCCACGATCCTCCTGAGGGCCGGCGAAAAATAGCCTCCCCCATGGGGATCGCCAGGGGCCGCCCCGCGCGCGCGAACTAGAAATATTGTTAAGTAGTTACCGGAGATCTTAGCACGCCTCTGGCCCGTTGGGCCGGCGAATTGGCAGGAAGGCTGAGATTCAGGCTGGAATTCTAGATTTGATGCTGTCTGCGAGCATTCGGGGCTGAAGGACCCATCGCAATGTTTCCGGCAGTGTAGCATGTATCTCGTTGTTCCCTTTTCCCATCTCCCTCTCCCTCTCTTCACGAACCTTCTACCTTTTCCCTTCTCACTCTCGGGTCGGGCGAAAGGGGGGGATTGGGAAAGGGGGGGTTACGAAATTTGCTGCATGCAGCTGGTTTCGGCCTCGCCGAGGGGCCCATTCCTCGATACATAGCCGCCTCCGGCGCCGGGAGGCGCCGGGAAAATCAGCTACGTGAGCTGATTCTCAAACCCCCCCTTTGCTATCCCCCCCTTTCGCCCGACCCGACACTCGTGCCTCCCCTGAATCCTTGTTTTCACCAGAATCTCGAGCACTTCTTACTTCAGGACAGCTGAGATTCAGGCTGGAATTCTAGATCTGATGCTGTCTGCGAGCATTCGGGGCCGAAAGACCCATCGCAATTCTTCCGGCAGTGTAGCTTGTGTCCAGTTGTTCCCTTCTCCCATCTCCCTCTCCCTGTCTTCGTGAACCTTCTGCCTTCCCCCATTCTTCCTCCTGCCTCCACTGAATCCTCGTTTTCACCTACCTCTTACTTTACTTCAGGACAGCTGAGATTCAGGCTGGAATTCTAGATCTGATGCTGTCTGCGAGCATTCGGGGCCGAAAGACCCATCGCAATTCTTCCGGCAGCGTAGCTTGTATCTAGTTGTTCCCTTCTCCCATCTCCCTCTCCCTCTCTTCGTGAACCTTCTACCTTTTCCCTTCTCACTCGTGCCTCCCCTGAATCCTTGTTTTCACCAGAATCTCGAGCACTTCCCACTTCAGGACAGCTGAGATTCAGGCTGGAATTCTAGATCTGATGCTGTCTGCGAGCATTCGGGGCCGAAAGACCCATCTCAATTCTTCCGGCAGTGTAGCTTGTGTCCAGTTGTTCCCTTCTCCCATCTCCCTCTCCCTCTCTTCGTGAACCTTCTACCTTCCCCCATTCTTCCTCCTGCCTCCACTGAATCCTCGTTTTCACCAGAATCTCAGCCCAACGGACTTGAGCCAAAATGGCTCAAGTCCTCCCTTCGTGCCAGAAGATCGGACTTTCTTGCTGATGCTGTTTGCCGGCGTTCGGGAGGGTGGAATCTTGCTTGTGCATGGAGAATAAAAAGACTTACCAGATCTTGGAAGAGGTCCCTTGAGGCAAACAGGTTCTGCAGTCGTGGTCGCCGTCCTTGATCTCCCTGGACCCGCGCCGGGCCCCAGGTTGTTGCGAAGCCTCGTGGCAAGCACATGAGCAGTTTAGATTACCTACGGCGGGGTCGTTCGTAAACGAATGTGTCCAGGAGGCTGCAGACCCTGGAGGATTCCTTATCTGACGAGCGCGGCGGTGCTATCCATGGCCAGTCCACGATTGGAGTTCCACCGGCTTCCAGACCCTGGATCCTTTATCCAATGGTTCTTGCCTTCACCGTGAGACAACCTAGCGCGGCGCACAGTATCTCCCCACAGCTGTCTTCCAGCCGTCTGCTGGAATGATCGCTGTATCTTCGCTGGGAATACCAAGGGCGTCGGAAGCGGCAGCCGCGTGCCTGCCGACTTCTCCGGCCCGCGTCTGCCAGAAAGCACGGGGGAGGAGGGGAGGAGGAGAAAGGGGGGAGGCGGGAGGAGGAGGAGGCGGGAGGAGGAGGAGGAGGAGGAGGAGGAGGAGGAGGAGGAAGGCGGAGGCTCAAACATAACGCCTCGGAGAGCTGGACCTCGGGCGCACCTTACCACCTGCCCACAGAAACACAAGTGTCTCTGTAAGAACACACTGCTCAGTTGCGTCCGCCTCTCAATCCGCAGTACGCTCGAAGAGAATATGGGGATCCAGAGGAGGAGGAGGAGGAGGAGGAGGAGGAGAGGAGGAGGGGAGGAAGAGGAGGAGGAGGAGAAGGAAGAGGGGGAGGAGGGAGGAAGAGGAGGAGGAGGAGGAGGAGGAGGAGGAGGAGGAGGAGAGGAGGAGGAGGAGCAGGAAGAGGCGGAGAGGAGGAGGAGGAAGAAGAGGAGGAGGAGGAAGGAGGAGAGGAGGAGAGAGGAGAGGAGGAGGAGGAGGAGGAGAGGAGGAGGAGGAGGAGGAGGAGGAGGAGGAGGAGAAGGGGAGGTGGCGGAGGAATATCTGGACGAGAGAAGGGATAGGAATCGGAGGAGGAGGAGGAGGAGGAGGAGGGGGAGGGGGAGGAGGTGGAGGAGGTCCACGGTTCAATGAGGAGTAGGAAGAGGAGGCATTGGATGTCTTCTCCTCTCTGACCTCCCGCCCCCTCCCCCCCCGCCTCCCCGTCCCGTCCGCGCTGGATCGTCGCGCGGGGGCGACGTCGGCAGTGGTTTCGACGGCGACCCCCTGCGGCCAGGAGCAAGGAGGCCTCGAAGGAGTGGCCCGCTGCCCAGGTGTCCAGCACGCTGAAGGCCAACGGGGGGAATTCCGGGGATGTGGGGGGCCCTGGTGGGGTAGAGCACCACAGCACGTAACTTTCACAGGAAGACAAGGCACCTATACCGCTTTCCGTGCCTTTGCTTCGCCTTTTCGGGCTTCCCGGGGGGGCCCTCGTCGCGACGGCTGGGATCGCTTGAGCAGTCGGTGCAGAACGCAACCCAGGAGAGGTGGTGGGTAGCGGACTCGGTATTTTTTGGGTTCACGCAACGGTGATGCACTACACCCTCCCGTTGAAAGCCCCTCCCCTTGAGAAGTTTACATATGTCAAGGAAGTGTAGAGCGATGGCCCGTTTCGAACAAGATTTGTTTTCCATATTGGAAGGTTCACGCAGTTTCAGAGATTCGGTGATAACATTCACGGGAGGCTCAACCTAAGCCCCGTGAATAGATCGCTTTAAAGCCGTATAGGTGTTGCACAATTTGGAACGTTGAAGCATAGAATCCGAGGAAATCCCAGCCGCGAGCTTCATATTTTGAAAACGAGCCCGTCTCCATCTATGTATTTGGACATTTGCAGAACGAATGCGCGCGGCGCTGAAGCAAACACTGCATTTTGAAAACCACCGGCCCTCCACACTGATAAGTGCTGTAAGCGCTTACAACGAGCGATCGCGGCGCTGAGGCGAGAGCTGCATTTTGAAAGCCATCCGCCCTCCATTCATGTCCTTGTTGGAGCGCCTAGCTTGGGGACCGCAAAACGCAAGGGAGTCTGAAGCGATATGCCCAGCCTGGCCGAGGAACGCGCCCGGTGGTGTGAGAGGGTTGCGGGACGTAGAGGAACATGGGCGAGAGACCCGGATATTCTATAGGGGTTTCTGGGGGGGCACAGAGACGCGACTTGGCTCCTTGGAGGCGTTACGGCGATTCCGGAGATCTTCGGGACTCCCAGGGGTTCTGTTGATTCCGATGTTGTGGTGCCGGGCTGTGGATTTCCACAGTTTTTAGGAGGTAGCAGGTAGCATGATTGTTTTGGGTGCTGCCACGAAATCTGGGATCAGATGGTCAGGGCAAGAGGAACCCTAAAGGCGTGCTCCCGTTGTTCATCCAGACGAAACAACGGCGCCATACTGGGGGCCAATGTAGATGATCATGATCGCGACCGCGACGGTTGCCCCGTCGCCATCACTGCCGCCGCCGTCGCCGTCACCTTCGCATTCACGGCGGTGCCATCCGTGCTGCCAAACATTGATTTCCATACTCCGATGCCGACTGGCAGTAACACGTAAACAGCGGAGGTCTCTGTCCGGCTCCGCGACCTGGCAGGTGAGGTGGGCCCGCTGGTGGACTGTCGCAAGGTCGACCTCTCGAGTGCGGACTTCGATGCTTTGCGCGCCCAGGTGGTTGCTGCATGTTCCACCCAAACCCAGCGACGTCGCGCCGAGGACGCCTGGTCCAACTACCGCTCCGTTCCGCTCGCGCCTGCACTCGGAACTCAGGGGGCATGATTCGGCACGTTAAATAATAGGGTGCGGGCGTCGCCCCGCCATGGCGGCGTTATCGCGCGCGCGCGTCGTCGCGCTGTCAGCGAAGGCGCCGCGCGTGACTCGGCGCAGGCATTGCGCGCGCTTTCGAAAAATTGGGCGTGGGCCTCGCTCTGGCTTCGAGTTGTCAGCGCAGTCGCTGCGGGGGCAATCGATGCAACCGCGCCAGCGTTGCGCGCGGCCAGTAGGCGCCGCGGGCGCGTCCAATAATCAGGAGCAGGCACCTTCTCGCTGCCGCGATGTTCGCGCGGGCGCCGCGGGCATTTGTTTTACCACCAGAGGCGCCCCCCACGGTGAAGCACAGGCACCTCCAGCGCTTCAAATACTTAGGCGCAGGCGTCGCCCTTCCACCGCAAGCGCTGGCGCAGGCGGGCAGGGCATTGCTTTTACTGGCGCAGGCGCGCCCTTCCCGTCTGGCGATCTAGACTAGAGAGTTCTGGGAGGGGGGCGGGGGAGCGCGCTCGAATCTCCACCCTGCGCAGCGCCCGCGGCGTCGCGCCCTCCGCGGGAGCGAGACAAGGGCGGGCGGGGTTGGGAGGCGCGGCTCGGCTGCGGATGAGAGGGCCCTACGCGCACAGGGGTCCACCGGGGGGCGTCTCGAAGCGCTGGCGGCCGAGTGAGATCGGGGGAGGGCCGCGGGGGGCCACCGCGAAGGCGCGCACTCCTTCGCCCCTCGCCCCCTCTCACCCCTGCGCCGCGCGCCGCCTCCCCCCCCTCTCGCTCGCGGCACGGGGGGGGGGGGGGGGCAGCTCAAGAGCACGGCGCGGTGCTTTTCCGACGGGGACCTCCTCAGTACTGCAGCTCGCATGCGTTGGGGGGGCGAATCGCTTCTGGGAGGAGGGGGGGGAGGAGGAGGAGGAGGAGGAGGAGGAGGAGGAGGAGGAGGAGGAGGAGGAGGAGGAGGAGGAGGAGGAGGAGAGGCCCTCCTGGCTCGCACGCGCCTCGCCACTCGTGCTCTCCGAGCGCGGGGGGTGGGCTCGCCCAAGAGAGTGCGGCTTGGCGCCCTGGGGCCGCCGACCCCGGCCCCCTTGCCAGGGGAGGCCTTTGGCGCGGCGCCGGTGCCGCGCGAGGGCGCGGGCACGTCCTCCAGCGAGGCCAGGTGCTACTCCTTCCTCTATCTCCCCTTCCTCTTTCTCATTCATCCCCGCCCTTCCCCCTCATTCTCCTTTCCCCTCCCTCCCCGCACACACCCCCACAGCTGTCTCCTCGTCTACCTGCCCTCACGTTGTTCCTCATTCTCCTCCTGTCCCCCCGACCTCCTCCTGCATCCCATTTCTGTGCAGATGCTCCATCCCAGCCGCACCCCCGCACGCGCCGTCGAGGCGATCTTGTCGTCTCGCCTGGCGAAGCCTGAGCGCTTCTGACAAAGAAAACGGATACTCCAGATTTCGTAATAAAAGGGAGGGGGTCTGGACCCTCCAAGACAAGCCATTTCAGACCCCCCTTCGTGGGAGAACCCTCCAAAACATCGTCCCCAGACCCCCCCAGGCCCTCCAAGACAGCCAGAGACCCCCCTCCGAAATGAGACCCCCCTCCCTTTATTACGAAATCTGGAGTACGCATCCACGAATACGCGCACAAAGCATGCACTCAAGATGCCCACTCGTGCAGCGGACGTGTTCGGGTTCGGCGGAGGTGGAGGCAGTGAGCGAGGCCTCGGGACCTCGAGAGAGGAGAGCAGAACCGCGGCGGCGGAGGTTCGCGCGCGCACCGCCTCGCGCGGAGGGACAAGTACAAGATGTATCTCGCCCATGCCGCGTCTGTGACAGGCACATGGTGGTATGGATTGAGTTCGTATATTGGGAAGGCGCCTGTACCACGCATCATCGATGTTGCGTTACATCTTCTCGTCCCACGCCATTATCTCCAGAAGCCCCTACTTGTTTTTCTTCGAAGTAAAAGAAGCGCCCCTTTTGAAGACGACCGCCCCATGGGCTGATTGTTCTGGCGAGACTGCCATACGGGAAAGTGCAGGATCACCAAGTTCGATTTGATTTCCAGCGAGAAACCACCCCCGAAACTGCTGCACAGGCTCATATGTCCAGTGATAAGCTTAGGGGGTCCGAACTGATAGCCCCGTTTTGAAGAAAAAACGTCCTCCACCGTGCATCTGCATATGCTTATGTTCGAGATCCGACTTGCTCGACCGGCAAAGCTGTCACTCGAGAGGCAACACGTCAAAGCATCTACCGCCCAATCTCCTTGTAGCTGCTGCCAGTTTAACAGGGCGAAGGCGCGCTTCGCCGAGGTGCCAGAGCCCACCGTGACAGGGTGCCGCCCTGCATCTTCGCAGTTGCTGCAGTGTCTTATCTTACAGCGCGGGGGCGCGGGGCGCCGAGTCGAGAGCTCCATTCCGAAAGAACGCCGGCCTCCGAATCTGTGGTTGCATGGGCTACTCGAGATTTCGTAATAAAGGGAGGGGGGTCTCATTTCGGAGGGGGGTCTCTTCCAGGCTATCTTGGAGGGCCTGGGGGGGTCTGGGGACGATGTTTTGGAGGGTTCTCCCACGGGGGGGGGGTCTGAAATGGCTTGTCTTGGAGGGTCCAGACCCCCTCCCTTTTATTACGAAATCTGGAGTATCCGTTTTCTTTGTCAGAAGCGCTCAGGCTTTGCCAGGCGAGACGACAAGATCGCCTCGACGGCGCGTGCGGGGGTGCGGCTGGGATGGAGTATCTGCACAGAAATGGGATGCAGGAGGAGGTCGGGGGGGGCAGGAGGAGAATGAGGAACAACGTGAGGGCAGGTAGACGAGGAGACAGATGTGGGGGTTTGTGCGGGGAGGGAGGGGAAAGGAGAATGAGGGGGAAGGGCGGGGATGAATGAGAAAGAGGAAGGGGCGATAGAGGGAAAACACGGAAATGGAGTAGAAGGTAAGCCAGAAGATGATTGCATGAGGAGCGGGGGCGGCGGCTGGTGCTGGTCCGCATGTGTATCCGCGCCTCTCTTTCCGCTGCTGTGTGCTTAAGGGGATCAAGGTCGCACCCATGCTTACTCGCCCCTCCTGGGGCCGCACATCTAAGCGTTACCCCTCCTCCCCTTCCCTCTCGGGATGACTGCCAGCGCCGGGGCGAACTGGTAGTTCCGAAGTGTCGAAGACACCCCGACGGGACATGCACACGCCCCAGATCATCAAGGGTTTCGGGACATCCTGTGAGCAGGACCTTTTTTACAGTGCGACCAAAGGCGGCTTACGATTTATAGAAGCACTGCAATGCACACCTTTAGCACTGGTGGACAGGATCGGAGAGGAGAAAGAAGATAGTAGGAATGGGATCGTGGGGGAAGGTGGATATGGAAGAGGAGCGGACAGCGAGGAGACAACATCTATCTGAGAGGCTATAGGATCGAGCTGATTTGACATACGGCTAATTTTTTGATATCGAACGCGGGGGGGACAGAACAACAAAACAGGTATACTATAGAGATGATGATGACAAAGAGAGAGAGAGAGAGAGAGAGAGAGAGAGAGAGAGAAAAAGAGAAAGAGAGACAAAGGGAGAGGGAGAGAGCGATAGAGAGAGAGAGAGAACACAAACAATAACGAGAGAGGTGGGGGACAGAGACAGAGAGAGAGAGAGAGACAGACACACACACACACACACACACACAAACACACACACACACGACAAACATGGGAGATGCACTCTACATTCCCCGCTTGCACTTCGGGGAGTCCCGTTTTTTTTGTTGAGTGAGTGGCTGGTTCTTCTTGGCTTCCGCCACACTGCTGCCCGTGCCGTCTCGTGGGCCCCTCGTGTGGCCCCCGTGCGTGGGGCGGCTTGGCCGAGGTTCCGCCGCGCTGCTCGTGCCGCCTCGGGGGTGCTGGCGGGCGCCGCGTGCGTCGGGCGGGTTTGGTGAGGTTTCGCCTCCTTTGCCTCCTCCTCCTCCTCCTCCTCCTCCTCCTCCTCCTCTGCCTCCTCCTCCTCCTCCTCCTCCTCCTCCTCCTCCTCCTGCGCTAAGAGGGGCGTGCCGGGGTTGCGCCACGGTGCCGCCGTGGGGCCTCGTGGGCGCTCGTGGGCGCCTCGTGCGCTGAGCCTACGCCACGCAGCTTGCACCACACAGTTTCACACCACATACCTTACACGGCCTGGCTTACAACAAGCAGCTCACACCGCAGACCTGACGCAATGCAAGCTTACATAACAGATCTTGCACTGCACAGCTTGCACGACGCAGCCTGCAGCACATGATCTAGACCACGAAGCTTACACCTCCAGCTTGCACCGCATGCCTTACATCACACAACTTGCACTACATGACTTGCACCGCATAGTTGCCACCTCCACCGCTCACACCCAACCGTTTGCAGTACATAGCTTTCACCAAGTAGCTTAGACCGAGAAGCTTTCATTTCCACAGTGCAAGGACGCACTGTTTGGCGCCCGCGCTGGCTAACATATGTCGTATATATGTGTACGGGCACAGAGAGGGGTATGATATAGAGACAATGGGGCTCCTGTGTCTGGGGGCAGCGCTGGCGGTTTGCCGTGGGCTGCTTGTCTTGAAGCCCTCCCCCCGCCAGCCCCCGAACAGGTCTACAAGACTGGTGACGACATGCTCTCTGGAAAGGACTTTGACCGCAAGCTCATCAACGGCGGGCGGGAAAGATGGAGTCATGAGGGGGTGCAAGGAGCGAGGAGGTAAAGAGATCCTCTGCCATGCGTGTGCGTGCGTGCGTGTGACCCCATGATCCTAACCATGGCTCGAACGTCCATGCTCCGTCCAGGAGCGGCTCGGGCTTTGCTCTCGGGCAGCCCCCGTCAGGCGGTGTCTCGCTCCCACTGCCCGAGGCCCCCTCCCAAAAGATCACGGCGCTCGGGAGAGAGGGCAAACTCGGAGGTAGCACCCTGAGTGGGCTATCCGGGCGCACCCCCATCGAGGATGCTCCCCGCCCTTTGTGTATCCCCGAGCTGGGCCCCCAAGTTTTGGTCCGGTCAACGACACAACAAAGTCTGGGTGTCATCATCTAGCCCGGTTCTCGGGGATGCCAGTCCATCATTTGAACATGTGGTTTGGGCGTGCACCGTAGCTCCAGGAAGGAGCGATTTCGGCAACGCCCGCAGGGCAGCGAGTCGATTGGTCGCAGATGCCTGGTCACAACTTTGGTTGACACAGTTCTGGCACGTGGGTCGCCTCCATTACCTCTGGAGCCATTACCCCCCCCCCTGTTTTGAGCCTTCCGTCGCAAATTGGCCGACTACGTACTCCAGATTTCGTAATAAAGGGAGGGGGGCCTCATTTCGGGGGGGGGTCTCTTCCAGGCTATCTTGGAGGGCCTGGGGGATCTGGGGACGATGTTATGGAGGGTTCTCCCACGGGGGAGGTCTGAAATGGCTTGTCTTGGAGGGTCCAGACCCCCTCCCTTTTATTACGAAATCTGGAGTAGGCCAGCGATCGCATGGCCGGACGCTTCATTCCCGCTCGTGTGCACGGCGTGCGGAGTTGCTCAGAGGCTTCACGACTGCGTCGCCGAGCTTGTCACTGTGCTGCGCCCGCTCCGCATCCTCCCCTCCAAAACTGCTCCTCCTCCTCCTCCTCCTCCTCCTCCTCCTCCTCCTCCTCCTCCTCGCTCCTCCCTCCTTCCTCCTTCCTCCCTCCTCCTCCTCCCTCCTCCTCCTCCCTCCTCCCTCAGAAGCATCTCCCCCCCTTGTCGTGGGAATTGGGAAAAAGCCCGCCCAGACAAGTCGGCTGAGGACATGCGCAAATTCACTCGACGTTGGCATTCGAGTGTGCCGGTGCAGTCCCGGATCGTCTGAGCTGAACGACGTGCGCTTCGCGAGATGCGTTCGGTTTCTTTTGGGCGACGCTTAGTTACCCCGCTAGGGTGCACTCAGAATGCAGTGCCGCGATCACGTGGATTGCCTCTTGTGGTGCTCACTGAAGGGCGTTTTGCTAAAGGGGTCTCTCTCTGCCTCCTTTTCTCGGGTGCGACTGGGAGGTTTCGTTCAGCATCGGCGCTGGTATTTCCGTGGTCGAAAACCGTTCTACTCCGGCCTCCGGCTTGCCCCCCGCTATTCCTATTGAGTTTTGCGCAGCCGCGCGGCTTAATCCATGGGCCGATTTGGCTCAATGGTTTGATCTGGCCCAATGGCTTGTTTAATCGTATTTGGTAGTTGCAATCATTCCCACAAAGACCTCCCAGGAGTTGTCTCCCCAACCCTTTCGCTTCCACTCAGGCTTTGTTCCGAGGCGGGGATTTATCCAGAAGCGCAAGTTGGGGGTTCGATCTTCGGTAACCTCGGCAGGCGGTGGATATGGATATAGTTGCTCCCCAGGGCCCTACTATATCCATCCGCACTGCGTCCCCAGGTCCCCGAAATCCCAAAGCGCTGGATTCGGACACATCGGAGGCCTAGAGGTTGGCACCAACGCCAATGTCGGCGGTGTGCCTCCACCGAAAGGAGATGTTCGTGATCTCAGTGATGCTGGTCATGTTCGGGCTCCCTGGGCGGCGGGTAGATTACCATCACCACCAAAGTGCAGGATCATCCTCCCCCCATGGACGCGCCCTCCTGTTCGAGTGCTGGTGCCCATTTCCACGTCCCCGCCCTGCACCTAAGCGGCAGAGGTGCTCCGAGGGGGGGGGGGCGATGCCGCCGCGGCCGCCGCTGCAGCCGCCGCCGCGCGCCGCCGAGGGCTCCCGGGGCGCAGGCAACGCCAGGTTTGTGACCAAGGGCGCTTGGCGCCCCGACGACGACAGGAGCTGCCTTCCCGCCCCCGCCTGGGTGGCCGGCTGGGGGCCCGAGGTGGCCCAGAGTGGAGGTGGCAGGCTCGAGGCGCCGGGTTCGAGGACAGGCTCTCGCTGCGCGTGTCCTGCCTCCGCGGGCCGTGCTCGGACCCAGGGGCCGTCAGGAACGGACCTGGCGCGAAGCATGTCACCGGATAAACCCCAGGAGGGGGGGACCGATTGTGAGCGGATCTGGCGTCATCCCCTCCCTCCTGACCGCTTTTCTGGTGCCCCACCCAGTTCAGGCCCGCCTGCCGCTTCCAACCCCCGCCCCTTTCCCCCCCTCTCCCCACTGGCAGCGGTCTGGCCGCCTGGTGCGAGCGAGTCCTGCGGGGTGCTCCTTGGTTGATGTGTCTCTTCTCGTGCTGGTCCGGCTCCTCAGGCTGGTTCCGCCTGCTGTCCGTTGGCAGCGTTCTGAGCGACGTACGAACACACACACACAAACACACACACACACACACACACGCGCGCATACACACGCACATATACACACGCACACACAGCACACACATATAGCGCACAACACACACGCAACACACACAACACACACAACACACAGAGTACACACACAACACACACAGCACACAGCACACAACACACAACACACAACACACAACACACAACACAGCACACACAACACACAACACACAACACGCAACACGCAACACACACAACCCCTCCACACACACACACACACACACACACACACAACACACAACACACAACACACAACACACAACACACAACACACAACACATACATACACACAACGCACCACACGCACGAGAGCGGGATAGAGGCGAGAGTGGCCAGGGAGGCGGCAGCAAGCAGATGCCACACATCACACATCGCCGAGCATGCAGCCCATCGTGCTACCCTCGAGGCACGTCGAATGAGGAGGGCGAGGGGGCCTTTCCAGCAGCGGTGGGCCTGGGCCGCGAACCTGCCCCCCCCGGCCGAGCACTCGCGGACCGGCCCGAAAGCAAGAGTCCCTCCCGAACCCCAAAAGTGGTCCTTGCCTCGGCGTCTTGACCGCATAGGGGGAAGGAGGGGCGATGCCACCACCAGAGGGGGGCACCTTCTGCGATGGGGTCCACGAGAAGTCTCCCCGAGCTTGCGATGGGGGCTGCCTCGAGCGAGAGGGGCGAGAGGGGCGAGAGGGGCGAGGGGCTACACGGTATGCCTCTCCGAGCTGCTGGCGGGGGATGCCTCGACTGCGAGGGTGTGGGGCGAGGGGGTCACGATGCCTCCCCGAGCTGGCGATGGGGGATGTCTCGAGCGAGAAGAGGGGAGGATGGGGGGACCACGCCACAGGGAGGAGCCTCCCCGGCGCCTCTGGAAGGCAGGTGGGGTCGCCTTCTCCCGGTTCCCAAACTGCAGACGCGCGCAGGGGCACGAAGAGAAAGCGCTGGCTTCGCTGCGGCCCCGTATCTGATCTCGGGATCCTGGCGTCGCAATGTTGTAGCACCAGGCGCTTTTGCTTCTAATTCGGACCCCAGGACCATCACAGATCGATCCGGCAGGAAGCATGCTGCAGAACGATGGGGCCTGGGGCTCGTGTCGTGATGTTCTGCGTTGGCGCATTTTTGTCCGCAGCGACGGAGTTCAAGGGAGGAAAGACCATCCTATTCTGCAAACGTATCTTTGCAAGCCAGATCTGAAATCAGAAAAATGTCGAAGGACCCAACCATATGCAGTTGTGAGTACCGCAGTTGTGGGTATTGTCTTCGGTGGAGCTCCTTATGGACGAGAGGGTGGTGAGACGCATGTGGACACCGCCACTGTGGCCTTCGCTGGAGCTCCCTATGGGGCCCCGGAACGCAGTGCTGGGTGGGCGAGACGCATGTGGACACCGCCACTGGGGCATTCGGTGGAGCTTCCCATAGGGGCCACGAGGCGCTGCAGTGGGTTGGGGAGACGCAGGTGGACACCGCCACTGGGGCCTTCGGTGGAGCTCCCTTTGGCCCCCTACGGGGCCCCGAAACGCTGTGTTGTGTGGGGGAGACTCATGCGGACACCGTCACTAATGCATTCGGTGGAGCTCCCTATGGGGCCACGAAGCGCTGTATCGGTTTGGGGAGACGCATGTGGACACCGCCACTGGTGCATGCGGTGGACATCCTGATGGGGCCCCGAAACGCAGTGCTTGGTGGGGGAATCGCGTGTGGACACCGCCAGTGAGGCCTTCGGCGGGGCTCCCTATGGGGCCACGCAGCGCTGTGCTGGGTTGGGGGGGACGCATGTGGACAACGCCGCTGGGGCCTCCGGTGGAGCTCCCCATGGGGCCACGAATCGCTGCACTGGGTGGGGGAGACGCATGTGGACACCGCCATTGGGGCCTTTGGTGGAGCTGCGTATGGGATCACGAAACGCAGTGCTGGGTTGGGGAGACGCATGTGGATACCGCCATTGGGGCCTTCGGTGGAGCTCCCTTTGGCCCCCTACGGGGCCCCGAAACGCTGTGTTGGGTGGGGGAGACTCATGCGGACACCGTCACTAATGCATTCGGTGGAGCTCCCTATGGGGCCACGAAGCGCTGTACTGGGTTGGGGAGACGCATGTGGACACCGCCACTGGGGCATGCGGTGGACATCCTGATGGGGCCCCGAAACGCAATGCTTGGTGGGGGAAACGCGTGTGGACACCGCCAGTGAGGCCTTCGGCGGGGTTCCCTATGGGGCCATGAAGCGCTGTGCCGGGTTGTGGGGGACGCATGTGGACAACGCCGCTGGGGCCTCCGGTGGAGCTCCCCATGGGGCCGCGAATCGCTGCACTGGGTGGGGGAGACGCATGTGGACACCGCCATTGGGGCCTTTGGTGGAGCTGCGTATGGGGTCACGAAACGCAGTGCTGGGTGGGCGAGACGCATGTGGACACTGCCACTGGGGCATGCGGTGGAGCTTCCCATGAGACCACGACACGCTGTGTTTGGTAGGGGGCCGTGTGTTACTGGGGCATGCGGTGGAGCTCCCTATGGGGCCACGAAGCGCTGTGCTGGGTGGGGGAGACGCATGTGGACACCGCCTCTGGGGCATTCTGTGGAGCTCCCTATGGGGCCAAGAAGCGCTGTGCTGGGCGGGAGAGACGCATGAGGGCACCGTCACTGGTGCCTTCGGTGGAGTCTCTGTGGGGCCAGGAAAGGCTGCGCTGGGTGAGAGACGCATGTGGACACCGCAACTGGTGCCTTCGGTGGAGCTCCCTATGGGGCCACGAAGCGCAGTGCTTGGTGGGGGAGGCGCATGTGGACACCGCCACTGGGGCATCTGGTGGTGCTCCATTTGGGGCCACGAAGCGCTGTGCTGAGTGGGGGAGACGCATGTGGACCCCGCCATTCGGGTATTCGGTGGAGCTCCCCGTGGGGCCACGAAGAGTTGTGCTGGGCGGAGGGGGGAGGCGCATGTGGACACCGCCTCTGGGGCCTTCGGTGGAGCCCCTCTGGGGCCACGAAGCGCTGAGCTGGGTGGGGGGGGCGCATGCGGACACCGCCACTGGGGCATTCGGTGGAGATATGCTGGGTGGGAGAGACTCATGTGGACACCGCCCCTGGGGCCTGCAGTGGAGCTCCTTATGGGGCCACCAAGAGCTGTGCTTGGTGGGCGAGACGCATGTGGACACCGCCACTGGGCCCCTATGTGGAGCTCCCTGTGGGGTCACGAAACGCTGTGTTGGGTCGGGGAGTCGCACGTGGACACTGCCACTGAGGCATTCGGTGGAACCCCATATGGGGCCCCGGAGCGCAGTGCTGGGTGGGGGAGACGCATGTGGACACTGCCACTGGGGCATTCAGTGGAGCTCCCTATAGGGCCACGAAACGCTGTGCTGGGTGTGGGGGGCGCATGTGGCACCGCCACTGGGGCCATCGGTGGGGCTCCCTATGGGGCCACGGAGCGCTGTGCTGGGTGGGAGAGACGCATGACGGCACCGAGTCTCTGTGGGGCCACGAAAGGCTGTGCTTGGTGGGGGAGACGCATGTGGACACCGCCACAGGGGCATGCGGTGGAGCTGTGTTGGATGGGGGAGACGCATGTGGACACCGCCACTGGGGTATTCGGTGAAGCTCCCCATGGGGCCACGAAGCGTTGCACTGGCTGGGGGCGACGCATGTGGACACCGCCACTGGGGCCTTCGGTGGAGCTCCCTATGGGGCCACGAAACGTTGTGCTGGGTGGGCGAGACGCATGTGGACACCGCCACTGGGGCATTCTGTGGAGCTCCTATGGGGCAACGAAGCGCTGTGCTGGGTGGGGGAGACGCGTGTGGACACCGCCATTGATTATTCAGTGGAGCTCCCCATGCGGCCACGAAGCGCTGTGCTGGGTGGGAGACGCATGTGGACACCGCCGCTGGGGCATTCTGTGGAGCTCCCTATGGGGCCACGAAGCGCTGTGCTGGATGGGGGAGACGCATGTGGACACCGCCATTGATTATTCGGTGGAGCTCCTTTTGCGGCCACGAAGCGCTGTGCTGGGTGGGAGACGCATGTGGACAACGCCGCTGGGACCCTATGTGTAGCTCCCTATGGGGTCACGAAGCGCTGTGTTGGGTCGGGGAGTCGCACGTGGACACTGCCACTGAGGCATTCGGTGGAGCCGCCTTATGGGGCCCCGGAACGCAGTGCTGGGTGGGGGAGACGCATGTGGACACTGCCACTGGGGCATTCGGTGGAACTCCTGATGGGGCCACGAAACGCTGTGCTGGGTGGGGGGGGCGCATGTGGCACCGCCACTGGGGCCTTCGGTGGGGTCCCTGTGGGGCCACAAAACGCTGTGATGGGTGGGAGAGACGCATGACGGCACCGAGTCTCTGTGGGGCCACGAAAAGCTGTGCTTGGTGGGGGAGACGCATGTGGACACCGCCACAGGGGCATGCGGTGGAGCTGTGCTGGATGGGGGAGACGCATGTGGACACCGCCAGTGGGGCATTCGGGGAAGCTCCCCATGGGGCCACGAAACGTTGCACTGGCTGGGGGCGACGCATGTGGACACCGCCACTGGGGCCTTCGGTGGAGCTCCCTATGGGGCCACGAAGCGCTGTGCTGGGTGGGCGAGACGCATGTGGACACCGCCACTGGGGCCTTCGGTGGAGCTCCCCGTGGGGCCACGAAACGCTGCGCTGGGTGGGGGAGACGCGTGTGGACACCGCTACTGGGGCATTCGGTGGAGCTCCCCATGGGGCCACGACTGTGCTGGGTGGGGGAGACGCATGTGAACACCGCCACCGGGGCATTCGGTGGAGTTCCCTATTGTGATGATGGCGACGACGGCGAAGAAATGCGCAGGGCAGAGGCAGGGATGGGAGGAGGAAAAAGGAGGAGCAGGGAGGAGAGGAAAACAGGAAGGAAGGAAGGCAGGAACGAAGGAGGGATGGAAGGAGGGAACGCGTTGACCGTCTCTTCAAAACGAGGACCCAACACCACAGGATGGTCGGGAAAAGCACGCTTGCAGAGTAGATCTGTTTGCCGTTAGGCCAGACCTCACAAAAAAAACGTCTGCAGAATAGATCCATGATTTTGAAATCCAATCTCACCTCAGCAGGCACGTTTGTTGAGTATGGCAAGGGCAGAGCGCGCCGTCGGCAGCGCAGTTCAAGCAGCGAGAGGAGGGGCAGGACCGGGGGTCGCCTCGCAGAGCCCCCCCGCTCCCCGCGCCTCCTGCCACGAGGCCCCCGCGCTTCCTGCCACGAGGCTGCCGAGGGGAGTCGCTCAGTCTGGTCGTCCGCGTCCTCCTCCTCCTCCTCCTCCTCCTCCTCCTCCTCCTCCTCCTTCCTCCTCCTCCCCTCCTCCTCCTCCTCCTCCTCCTCCTCCTCGTCCTCCTCCTCCTCCTCCTCCTCCTCCTCCTCCCCGTCCTCCTCTTCTACACTGCTTCTGAGAAGGCAAGGCGTGCCGCTGCCATGTCGAGATTTGAAGTCCAGTCCGTCACTAACCGACGCGGTCGCGATATCCGTAATTCCGTATCTCCTCCTCCTCCTCCTCCTCCTCCTCCTCCTTCTCCTCCTCCTCCTATTCGTCCTCCTCCTTCTCCTCGTCCTCCTCCTTCTCGTCCTCCTCCTCCTTGTTCCTTGCTCCTTGCTCCTCCTCCTCCTCCTCCTCCTCCTCCTCCTCCTCCTCCTCTGTCGGGGTGGCTGCTCCTCAGATGGCGTCGAGAGCGTAGCCGCCGCGCCGCTGCCGCGGACTCGGCGTCTCCTGGTCCTCCCCCGTCTGCCGGCAGCGGGAAAGATCTGGCCACGCGCAGGGAGGGGCAGGGGGAGGAGGGGAAGTCAGAGCCCCGAATCATCAGGGGTAACTCGGGTCAGGGATAACTCGGGTTCCTTTTTCGGGAATCCAAACCCGAGTTACCCCGGACCCGAGTTACCCCGGATAACTCGGGCGTCCAGAGCCCCGAATCATCAGGGGTAACTCGGGTCAGGGCTAACTCGGGTTCCTTTTTCGGGAATCCAAACCCGAGTTACCCCGGACCCGAGTTACCCCGGATAACTCGGGCGCCCAAGGAAGGGCTCCTCAGAGGCTCCCCCGCTCCTTCGGAGGCGCGGGCCGTGTCTGCGGGTGTCAGGCCGGCGCCATGCAGGAACAGCCGCCTCGCTCCAGGAAGCCTTCCCCCCCTCCCCCGACCCCCCAGCGCGCGCCGCCAGAAGGCTGCATCGCAGAATTTCACCGCACTCCTAGCAGTGCTTCTCGCTGCTTCTTTGGAGCACGCCCAAGCTCGCTCCGGTCGATGCTGTGCGCGTCGCCGTCGGCTGCTCGCCCGTGGCGGCCGGAGGGGCTGCCCCCCGACGACGCGGTCAACGGGGCGCGTAGTGATCAGCGGGCGCAGTCGGACCGAGGCATAAGATCGAGGTCGACCCGGGGAGGGTACCCTCGTGGTTTTTAGGTTTGTTGGATGTTCTGGCGCATTCTGGGGAGGGTACCCTTTGACGTCACGTCTGTTCTGGCCGACCGAGGGTCTCACGTCCTTGAAGGATGTGTTTTTCCCGACATCGGCTCTGCCTAGAAGGATTCTTACTCTCTTAGCTTAAAGGGGCGGGCTATGCTAACCGCCCCGGGCGGTTCCCCCAGTCCCCGCCCCGCGGTTCCCCCAGTCCCCTGAGAGCTTTAGCTTTAGCTTTAGCTTTAGCTTAGCTTTAGCTTAGCTGTAGCTTAGCTTCAGCTTGGCTTTAGCTTAGCTTTAGCTTAGCTTCAGCTTAGCTTCAGCTTGGCTTTAGCTTAGCTTTAGCTTAGCTTCAGCTTGGCTTTAGCTTAGCGACACCTTAGCTTTAGCTTAGCTTGAGCTTAGCTTTAGCTTAGCTTTAGCTTAGCTTCAGCTTAGCTTTAGCTTAGCTTCAGCTTAGCTTCAGCTTAGCTTTAGCTTAGCTTTAGCTTGGCTGTGCCTTAGCTGTACCTTAGCGTTAGCTTAGCTTTAGCTTAGCTTTAGCTTGGCTTTAGCTTAGCTGCACCTTAGCTTTAGCTTAGCTTTAGCTTAGCTTTAACTTAGTTTTAGCTTAGCTTTAGCTTAGCTTTAGCTTAGCCTTCACCGTAGCTTTAGCTTAGCTTCAGCTTCGCTTTAGCTTAGCCTTCACCGTAGCTTTAGCTTAGCTTTAGCTTAGCTTTAGCTTATCTGCACCTTAACTTTAGCTCAGGTTTAGCTTAGCGGTAGCTTAGCCTTAGCTTAGCCTTAGCTTAGCTTTAGCTTAGCTGTAGCTTAGCTTCATCTTAGTTTTAGCTTACCTTGAGCTTAGCTTAGCTTAGCTTTAGCTTAGCTTTAGCTTAGCTTTAGTTTAGTTTTAACTTAGCTTTAGCTCAGCGTTAGCTTTACTGTTCGTACTAATGCTGCTTTCCTAAGGGCTCCAACTCCTATGCAGGGTCGCACTGGGATAATTTTGGCCCAGATCCAGCTGTAGGTGATGTGGAGACTTTCTTCGGCCACGCTCCACCTCCTCTGCCCGCCGACACAGAGAGCGGAGGCAGTAGGCGTGATGTCGAGTGGCATGGCGAGAGTTAGCTCCAGACTTCGCCGCTCGGACGAGCGTGGTGCGATCTGGGCAGAGCCCTGTGGGGATTCCATCGTGGCACGATGTCCTGCCCCCTCTCGCGCCTTGTCAAGCCAGGACTTCGACGTTCACCACTGCTCAGTCTGCCTCCGCTATCGCGGGTCGTACGGACGGGGGGATTGGGAAATGGGTGGTGCAACATCTGCTGTTTGCAACTGGTGCCTCGCATCTTCGGCCGCCTTTCTCGTCCGCCCCGATGTTCGCGTTCACACATCTTCGGTTGCTCAGCTCACGCAGCAAACCAGGGACCTTGCCTGATTGGATTGTTCCGTCGGGGACGGGGAAACGATGACAAGAGGCCCTGAGAGAAACGTGTTCTGGACTCCAGGGCTTTCCCCTGTTCCGAGCTGCTCTTACATGGTCGTGGAGCCAAAGGGGGGCCCCGCGGGGCCGAACGCGGCGAGACGTAGAACTCCGCCCGACATCCGTCCCCGGACCCCTTCCGGGGCTTCTCTGGCGCCCAGCCGCAGCGACGAGGAGGGCGCCGGGAGGCCAAACAACGAGGAAGGAGGGAAACAGAAGTCGCAGGATGCATTCAAATCAGGGAGCCCATCTCACAGTTCCGCGCGGATCTCCGAGAATTGATGTTTATGTTTTTTTTGTGTTCCATGAAATCTGGCGCCCACGCGCCATGTCAACGGGTCTCTGCAGTGGGGACGCGCATCAAGAAACCAGTCGCTTTTCGTTAGGGCGCCCTGGATCTCTTCGCTGCGCGGTGAATTCCCGCGGGCGTTTGGGAACTGCTGCAGCAAGGGTTCCGTCGATGTCCCCCCCCACTTGCAGCTCGCGCGCGGATTGTCAGAGTTGGGCTTGCTGCGAGGGTTTTGGTTGCGGCCGCGTCTTGTGCTGTAGTCCATGCCAGCGTCGTAGGCCTCCTCCGATACGATTTTTCAATCCGCGGCCCCAGAGGTGCCGACCTCCGCGCTCAATCCCCCTTCGACAGCAGCTCCAGGGAGAGGGAGTGGGCCGACCTCTCGGGCTGAGGAGGAGGAGGAGGCGGAGGAGGAGGAGGCGGAGGGGGAGGAGGAGGAGGAGGAGGAGGAGGAGGAGGAGGAGGAGGAGGAGGAGAGGAGGGGAAGGAGGAGGAGGAGGAGGGGGGGGGGAGGGGAGGAGGAGGGGAGGAGGGGAGGAGGAGGAGGAGGAGGAGGAGGAGGAGGAGGAGGAGGAGGAGTGTGCCCGAGTCCTGACAGTCGGCCGAACCCCCCAGCGCTGCCCCCTCCCGAGGAAGTGCCGGTCGGAGGGCTGCGGCGAGCTGCGGCGGCAGTGGCGGGAGCGGCCCCCCGGCCGGCGGCGACTACAGAGGGTATGGTTACAGTCAAGCATGATAGTAAGGATGGGGCAATTTTCCTCCAAGGCTACCCTTGCATCCTTGCCCCTTCGGTATTCGGCATCCTTCGGCATGCTGCTGCGCTCCGCACGGAAAGCGCCAGCATGGCATCCTCACCGCGCATCCTTACTATCCTGGTCGAGGGTACGCCGGGGTGCGGTTTGCGATCGGCACCGCTGGGGCCTGGGGGGCACGACGCCGTCCTCGTCGGGCCTGCCCTCGGGGCGCGGGAGAACTATCCATCGAGGTTCCCCTCGCGCCCCCCCGGGGAGGAGGAGGAGGAGGAGGAGGAGGAGGAGGAGGAGGAGGAGGAGGAGGAGAGGAGGCGGAGGAGGAGGAGGAGGAGGAGGAGGAGGAGGAGGAGGAGGAGGAGGCGGCGCGGGCCTGCACAGCGGCGCCAGACTGCAGGCCACGCCCTCGTCAGGCCACGCCCTGCGGGGCCGCGGACCCCGGGCCTCTCGTGCGGGCTGCAGCGGCGGGGAGCCGAGCGACGGTCGCGCGGCGGGCCCAGGGGCTCCTTCTCCGCCCTCCTCCTCCTCCTCCTCCTCCCTCCTCCTCCTCCTCCTCCTCCTCCTCCCCATCCTCCTCCTCCTCCTCCTCCTCCCTCCTCCTCTCCTCTCTCTCTCCTCCTCCTCCTCCTCCTCCTCCTCCTCCTCCTCCTCCCCGGGCCCGAACAAAAACCACGGCGGGAGGCTTTTCTCGGGGGCTCCCAAACCGGGTGGTGACCACACCGTGTGGTGAGTCGGTGGGGATTCGGGGTCACCGCACAGTTTTGGGACTTGGGGCGTTCTCCGGGGGTGTCTCGGGCGACTGGGGCCTCCGGGGTCCCAGAGCCGTGTGGTGACGGACCGTGCGGTGAGGTCTTTGCGGATTTCGAGGTCACCGCCGGGTCTGTCACCACACGGTTTTGGGACACCCAATTTTCGCCATGCTCGGCCTCTGGGGGCCCTCACCGGCCTTCGGGGCCAGAACAAACATGGCTCCGCGGGACGAAAAACCTCGGGGGTGGATGGGCCTCCTACCCTGACACGGCGATGAGTGAATTGACCGTTTTCGGTTCGCGAGAGGGCGTCGTTAGTTTCGGTCCTAGGCCGATTTCACTAAAGGGAGGTCTACTAAAGGGAGGTTAGTCCACCGCCGAAAACGGCTCCCAGGGAATGGGTCGAGGCCTCTGGGGGTCGACGTCATGGGAAAGTCATGACGTCGGGAGTCGGGGTCCGAAGATCGGATTTTCTCAACCGGCACGTTGCCCAAGACTGGCATGTGGGGAGCGTTTCCGGGCTCCGGGGCTATAAAAGATGGATCACACAGGGAAGCGGTCGGGACCCCCGGGGCCTAGGAGTGAATTAGTTTTAAGTCGGGCGTGCCCCTCTACAGCAGGGATTTTCAACAGCAGACAAGAGATAAGCAGGTTGAGCATGTTTCATATATTGTTGGTCATCTTTTGGATACTTCTGACTTTTCGCCCAAAATCCGCCTGCAGGACATGTCCGACTTGAAATTGGCCTGGCAAAGGACCCAACCATAGTATGCAGTTGTGAGTGCTGGAGTTCTGCGGGTCGTCATCGGTGGAACTCTTCCTGGGGCCACGAAACATGTGTGGGGTGTGCCGATTTTGCGAGGGGGGAGGGCGCATGTGAACCCTGCCACTTGGACCTTCAGTGGAGCTTCCTATGGGGCGACGAGACGTGTGAGGGGTGTGCCGAAACGGGCGTGACGCCCACATGCGATCTACATGGCTGGGATCTTCGGTGGAGCTCCCTTTGGGGCCACGAGACGTGTAAGGGGTGTGCCGAAACGGGCGTGACGCCCACATGCGAACTGCGCCACTTGGACGTTCGGTGGAGCTCACTATGGGGCGACGAGACGTGTGAGGGGTGTGCCGAAACGGGCGTGACGCCCACATGCGATCTGCGCCACTTGGACGTTCGGTGGAGCTCCCCTGTGGGGCGATGAGACGTGTGAGGGGAATGCCGAAACGGGCGTGGCGCCCACATGCGATCTGCGCCGCTTGGACCTTCGATGGAGCTCCCTCTGGGGCCACGAGACGTGTAAGGGGTGTGCCGAAACGGGCGTGACGCCCACATGCGATCTGCGCCACTTGGACGTTCGGTGGAGCTCCCCTGTGGGGCGATGAGACGTGTGAGGGGAATGCCGAAACGGGCGTGGCGCCCACATGCGATCTGCGCCGCTTGGACCTTCGATGGAGCTCCCTCTGGGGCCACGAGACGTGTAAGGGGTGTGCCGAAACGGGCGTGACGCCCACATGCGATCTGCAGGGCTGGGATCTTCTGTGGAGCTCCCTATGGGCGCCTTGGATCGTCCCGCCGGGGAGGCAGGGCGATCCGATTTTTCTTTCTTGACCGTCATGCTGTCTCTCAGGCGGTGGCGAAGGTGGCGCACGTGCGCCACCCACCCAGACAGGAGCCATCTCGATCCGATCGGTCCGATTCGATGCCGAGCTGGCCCAGCTTGATCCGACCCGATGTCGCTGTCCTCTCAATGTGCTGTGGAACGAGGGCAGCGCCGTATCGCAGCGCAGCAGGCCCGATTCGGATTCGGCTCCGTGCCGGTGCGGCCCGATCCGACGCACCTTCCTGGCCGATACAGTCTGTCGACTCGATCACCGAGAAGAGAAGACTCCCTCACCCGAATGACACAGTGAAGACGTGGCCTCGCGGAGGTCCCCGTCTTTTTGCACTTGGGATTCTGATTCTGGGCGGTTTGGTTCAATGCGTCTGCAGAAAGGACCCCCTATCCCTATTGTGTTTGGCCCTCCTGACTCAAGTCCCCTCCCCAAAGGGTTAGAGGCCCTCTTCTTGCTGATCATTCGATGCTGGCTGATCTTGCCCTGAGTCCGCGGCCAGCCCGAGACACAACAAGGGGGTGCACGGGAAGGATGGCTGCGGGGAGGAAGGGAGGAGGAGGAGGAGGAGGAGGAGGAGGAGGAGGAGGAGGAGGAGGAGGAGGAGGAGCAGGAGGAGCAGGAGGAGCAGGAGGAGCAGGAGGAGCAGGAGGAGGAGTATGAGGAGGAGGAGAAGGAGGAGGAGGAGGAGGAGCAGCAGCAGGAGGAGGAGGGGGAGGAGGAGGAGGAGGAGGAGGAGGAGGGGACGGAGGAGGTCGTACCGCGCCGGCGCCTCCCGAGGCGCCGTCAGCCCTCGGCCGCCGGTGCGGCACGCGTGCCACGTCTTGCGGCCCCCAGGGGCCGAGGAACTGTGCACCGTGCCGCGCTGGAGACCGGGGCCTAAATCGGAGGTTGATAGACCTCCTACCCTGACACGTCGATGAAGGGATTGGCCGTTTCCAGTTCGGAAGAGGGCGTCGCGGCCGTCATTTTTGCGGGTCCAGGTCCGTCGGTTTCGGTCACAGGGCGTTTTCACTAAAAGGAGGTGTACTAAAGGGAGGCTTGTCCACCGCCGACTAAAGGGAGTCCAGACGTGGCTTCGAAGGCCCAGGGGCTGACACCACATGAGGCGTTCCAAAAGAGGGCCTCACCTTCGAGTGTCGAAGGAGTGTTCATCCGGAGGGGATGCGGAGGGTGCCGGAGGCAAAACGAGGCCGCCGCCTCCGCTGACGGGGGCCGGCGGAAGGCCGGTGAAAGGCGGCGGAAGTGAAAAAAAACCTTCCAAGCGATGACAACAGTTTGGAGTCTGGGTTTCTGGAATCGGTCATATCGGCGGTGTGCCCCCACCGAGGGAAGATTATCCCAATCTCGGCGAGGGTGGTAATATTCGGGCTGCCCAGGTGGCCGCAAGATGGTCACCAACACCGAACGCTGGGATCAGCTTCCCGCGGTGGAGGCATGCCCCTGTGTTGCATGGTGGTGGTGCCCACTTCCAAGCCTCCAATGATGCGGTTCGAAGAGAAGCAAATTGCATACGCGCAAATGCTTCGAAGTCCGCGCGGATGTATGGGACTTGCGCTGGGAGCCCCTGGCGGCGCCTGCGGCGCCGGGGCGCGTTCCGCGCCCCAGGGAGGGCCTTCCGGCGCCGATCCAAAAACTCTGCGCGGAGCTCCGACAGCTCGTCACGGTCTCATATCGAGACCGCGCAGAGGCGCGCCGAGCACCCCCAGGCGCGCGGCCGAGCGGGCAGCAGCAGTTCCACCCCCTTTCCCGCGGCGGCGGGGGGGGCGGCGCCCCGGCGCGCGGCGCGGAGGACGCGCTCTTCTCCTGGTGGACGGACCTCCCGTGGATGAACTTGTCCGTCGCCCGGCGGATGCTGAGGCGCCCACGAGAAGCGGCTAATTCCATTCATCCGCTGGGGTCTTGTATCATTTTGAGTGCTACAGGGATGCATCTGAAAACGCATGTTAGGCAGTCAGCGAATGGATCTGAAAGCCGGGCTCTTACACTCCAGACGCGTCGCATGATCCATCCATTAGCTCATCCAGAAACGATGCCCAGGCGAGTGGCTTTGGTCAGGGATGTGGAGGAGCATGCAGTTGAGTAATGGGTTGGGGAAGCCTTCATACCTCAAGAGGGGGAGGATAGAGCAGGAATCGGAGAAGGCGGAGGGGGGGAAGGTGGGCTGAGGGAGGAGAGAGGGGGAGGAATAGGCGGATGAGGAAGAGCAGGAGGGGGAGGAGGAGGGGAGGAGGATGAGGAGGAGGAGGAGGAGGAGCAGGAGGAGGAAGAGGAGGAAGGGAAGGAGGATGACCAGTACAAACCCAAGATTCATCAACGATATTGCAAGAACCCTCTCTGCAAGTTCCTTCCTCATAGGCTCCTACATGGATTTCATTTCCACCGAGGGAAAAATGCCCCGTTGGGAAACAACCGATTGAAAATCTGGAACTATGCCAGAACACCGTCCCTGGGACTGCGCCGCGAATCACCGTCGTTGTTGCGTCTTGGCGGTCCTGAGTCGTGCCGAAACACCAAGTCTGAGACGTCAGCACCGCGAAGGAACGTGATGGTTGCGCCCTGTCTTTCCGACATCGTACCCAAACACCATGTCTGGGACGCTAACTATGACAATGTTTGAGACTCCTGCAAACTCTTAAGACGAATGTGTGCGGCGCTCAGGCGAGAGCCACATTTTGAAAAGGAGCCGCCCTCCATCCGTGAAGCTCTTGCAAACTCGTAAACCGAATGCGCGCGGCGCTAAAGGCGAGAGCCTGATTGTGAAAACGGATCGCCCTCCATCCATTCAAGTCCTACAGCTTGCTGAAGACGAGTGTGCGCGAACCGGCCAGGGCCTGGCCCCGATGCCCCCCCCCCCCCCTCCCCCCTCGCCAGCGTTCCTGCGGGTGCCCCCTGCTGCTGCCGGCCCTCGCGCTGCCGCCCCCCAGGCCTCGCGGCCGCCCTGCCCCCCGTCTTTCCGCGGCCTGCTTTGGGGCTACCGCTGCCCGGCCCCGGCTTCACAGCCCTGGCTTAGCCCTGGCTTGTTTGGCGGGCGCGTGCTGCACCCCCGCTGCCGGCAGCGCCGCCTCCCAGTGGTGTTCCGTGGGGATCTCTCCCCCCCCGCTCCGCCACCGCGGCCATAGCCCTCGGCTCCGCCCGCCCTGCAGCCTGCCCAGCCCCGTCCCTCTGCAGTTTGCCACTCGGGACGTTTTTTGGCTCCGCTGCCGCTGACCCCCGCGCCCAGCTCTTTCGCTTGCTGGTCGTCGATCTCCCGCACTGCAGCCGCCGCCCTGGCACCTGGGTGTGGTCGCGACGCCGCCCCGTGCCCACGTACAGCACCGGCTTGGCCGCCACGGGCGCCCCGTTGAGGTCCCCGCTGCGTGAGCGCATCAATTCCTTCTCCTTCTCCCGCGGCCGCTGCCTCTTCCCCCGCATTCCCTTTCTGCACCCTGCCAATTGGCAATGCCGTCACCCAGCTTGCCCGAGCGCGCGTTCGGACTGCCTCTGCCGCGCTGCGGCTTGAAAGTACGCGGCGCTAGTGCGAGAGCCACATCTTGAAAGCGGACCGCCCTCCATCCGTGAAGCTCTTGCAGATGTCAAGCTTCAGGTTCACTAGTGGTGCAGGAGTCCAGCGAAACGCCCAGCCCCCTCTTTCGACCAGCCTCGGGGTGCGACAGGGAGGAGTTATTTATAAGGGAGCGGTATGGACGAGGAGGAGGAGGAGGAGGACCAGTGTAAACCCAAGGGCCGTCAACGATGTTGGAATAAACCCTCCATCCGAGCTTTCTCTCCATAGGCCGTTCCTGACCAAACTGCCTCATTGGGAGACAACCGCTTGAAGGCCCTGAAGCATGCCAAAACACAATTTTCGGGACTCCAACGCCACGAATCAACCTGACTGTTGTGTCGGGACGATCCTGAATCGTGCCAGAATACCACTATTGAGACTTCAACCCCGCGAGTCAAAGTAACTGTTGCACCCTCGCAATCCTGAGTCCTTCCAAAACACAATTTCAGTGATTATGGGAATCTTTGCATATTTGTTATAGCGAATGAGCGCGGCGCGAAGACGAGAGGCACAGTTTGAAAAGGAACCGCGCTCAATCTGTGAAGCTCTTGAATTGTTGGTATAACGAATGTGCGCGGCGCTACGGCGAAAACCACATTAAAAAATGAGCCGCCCTCAATCCGAGAAGCTTTGGCAAAGTATTAAGACGAGTGTGCGCGGCGCAAAGGCGAAAACCGCATTTTGAAAACAGCCCGCCCTCAATCCACGAAGCCCTGGCAAAGTTTGGAAACGAATGTGCGCGGCGCTAATGCGAGAATCACATGTTGAAAACCACCCGCACTCCATGTGTGAAGTTGTTGTCGATGGTCAAGCTTCAGGGTCGTGGGTGGTAGGGGAGTCTCAGGCGAAACGCCCGGCCAGCCCTTTCGACCGGCCTCGCTGTGCGATTTGGAATTTTAGTTTTCATGGAGGATGAACAAAAGGATAAGCAGGTTGAGGAGAAGGAGAAGGAGGAAGGCGAAGAAAAAGGCCAGCAGCCTCTTGGATGCCTCTCTGAGTCCCCCCGGATGTCGCTTGAGAGCTTTTTGGGGCCATCTTGGGGCATCCTGGGGGCCTCTTGGCGGTCCTGTGGGCTTAGAATTTCTTGGGTGCTTCGGGGGTGTGGTATCTTGGGAGCCTCTTGGGGACCTCTTGGGGGCCTTGGGGCATCCTGTGCGCCTCTTGGGGCCCTCTCGGGATATTTCTTGGAAGCAATGAGGACCATCTTGGGGCCATCTTGGGGGAGCTCGGTCACAAAAGGGGGGGCTTCCCCCCCAGGAGGTCACAATTGGCCAAGGGAATTGAAATGGGTTTGATTTCTCGGCAAAGCCATCTTGGACGTTCAAATCTGTTTCGGCCCCCACCCGTCCAGATCCAGGCGAAGGGGTACACGAGGGGTCAAGGCACCCTACCCGCCCGCAAGCCGTCTCGCTCACTCCCACCCGCCCCCCAGCACAGAAGCAGCACTCGAGTCGCAGCGTGTTCTGCGGTAGTCTGCGGATGTAGAGCCAATGGGAACCAAAACGGGCCCCATGTGCGCAACGCTGGGGCAAGGTGCGCCAGGCGTGCCGGGCGCTCCACTCGCACCGGGCGCGCCAGGCACCCCTGTTGCCGAAGCGTGCCGACTACGCCTTGTGCGCCAGATGCGCCGCGTGATCTACGTGCGCCATGTGTGCCGCATGCTCCAGCCGCGCCAGGTGCGCCTCGTTCGGGGCAGGCGCAGAGTGTGCCAGGTGCGCCTGCGCACGTGGCAGTACATATCGGGGAACATGTCGCCCCCTACCACCCTTGTAGAAAACCAGTGCGAAATCGCGGCGGGTCGACCATCATAGCGTCTGGTGGGCTTGTACATAGCAGTCAGTATGCCAGCACCCCAGCCGTCCCAGTCAAAAACGAATGCACAGTGATCGCGGGCTGCCCGCGCATGATCCATATTTCGTTTAGAGGTGCATGTTGCAGTTTTGTTGTCTGACAGGGATGCTGGCCATGCGCACGGAAGGCCATATGCGGGAGCCCCAGTAATCTCGTTAAGCGTATACAATGTGCTGCGCCCCCCCGATTGTGATTCAGGATTTTGCTTCAAAGTGGACTTTGAATTATTTGTGATAGGGATGGTGGAGGGGTGCCCTCATTGGTCCTTGTTGGCTGCTGGTCGCCTGGGGTAGGGGCGTATCAATAAGGAACAGTGATCAACCCCTCCCCGAAGAGGATAAGGGAGGTCAAAGGATGAAACGCGCTAAACCACTCGCGCCCCAAAGAGCTGAGGGGATTCATCCATTCGAATTCATACTCATTAGGTCCGCCCTTCCTCCCCCTCATTCATCCTTTCCCTCCCTCCGTCCCTCTCTCCCTCCTCCTCCTCCTCCTCCTCCTCCTCCTCCTCCTCCTCCTCCTCCTCCTCCTGTCGTCGTGTCGTCTGTTGTACTCGCCGTCGTCGTTCGTCGTCGTCGTCCTCGGTGGCTTTCTGGTTCCCCGGAGTTGTTCCACATTCTCTGCTCCAGTTTACAGTGGACATAAAAGTTTGACTTGTATCACCCGGTCGAGTTCGCTGAACTCAGAGAGACCGCAGTTCGACGACGACCTTTCCCTTCCTCCCTCCCTCCCTCTTCCTCCTCTTTTTCCTGGAGTTTGCCTGGATCGAGGAAGAGTGAAGCCCCATGGACGGACTCAGATTGAAGGGGCAGACGGTATTCCCCTAGGGGGGACGACCGATACTCGGACAAGCGCGCCCGCTGGTGGGCAAAAGATGACGCCAACACCCAAGGCTGATTGTGCCGGACACGGCCCACCTCAGTATCCCTGGTAACGACCTGCCCAAGGAAACTTGCCCCCCTCTCATCGACTCCCCTTTGCCCCGAAGGGGCCAGTTTCACCTCGCCGCGCCCGGCTCAGGCCGTAATACCTGGGTGCGCCCTCCGCTGGGGCGTAGGCTAACCCCACATCTCACCCACGGCGCGGCATAGCTAGACAGCCCACACTGGACAAGTGGACCACCATCCTCCTTTTCGGGCCCGACGCGGAGGGGCTCCCCCTCCAGCACCCGACATCTCACCCTCTCGGGCACGGCGAGGCCAGCCTGGCCCGCGCAGACAGGCCCCCCGGGCTCATACACTTTGCTCTCCGACGACGACAGCCAACCCGCTCGCCAGAGGCGGGGGGTCAGCCACTGCATCCCCCCCGCCTCCTTGCCTGCTTGGCGGCGGGCTCGACTTAGCCAGGTCGCAGTTTTGGCAACTACAGATTCGTGCGGCGGTTAGCTGCGACCCTGGAGGACCAACACCCACCATCCCCGTAGAGGTATCATTCTCCGCGGTGACAGACCAACATCCAGCACGGCCTGAGGTCCACGTAGGACCCCACTCTCCCTCGGCCTTAACAACCTTTGAAGGACCCACCCACCATTTCTTTGTCTTGAGCGGCGGTTAGCTGCGACCCTGGAGGTACCAATAGAATTACCATTTCCCCTGTCCCACGGGTTCGGGGCCAGGCCGAGGGGAGGGGCGGCGCTTCCCCCGCCTCTCCCCTCTGGGGCCAGGCGGGTGTCCCCCGCCCTTGGCCCCGGGGCCCGCCAGACGTACTGTCAGACGTCGGTGTTGTTGCCCCCCCCCCTCCCAGGGCCGCCCGTGTCCCTCGCCGTTCGTGATTTGGCTCATCACTCTCAGCGGCGGTTAGCTGCGACCCTGGAGGACCTCGTGGTGTGTGTTGGCGTTCCTTGGATCTTGGGCAGAAGTGCCATGCGGCGGACTGGGTCGGACTTTGCGTCCGTTGGCCCTCGTGTCTACCACAGTGCAGCTCCCCCCAGGCGCATCGCCCTATGGCATCGGCACGCCTCGCTCGCACAGGCGCCACGTGCCCCGGGAGGTACAGCCCGTTCTGTTCTCTTGGGGATTCGCCTGCTCTTGTCTAGTTTCGCCTTCAGGACAACACTACCACCAGTGCAGCTCCCTCTACTCTTCCCCACTGGCGATGCTGACCACGCCAGCTGGTCTCGCCCCCACTCAGAGGCCTGACGCCTTGCCAGCACGCAGTGGCTCACAGTCGTTCGGTTCCCTCTTGCGCTGTGGAGTGGTTCAGCCTTCCGCAGCAGGTACGGCATTCCAGGCTCACCTTCAGCCTTCCCCAGTTGCGTTGCACCACGGCTCACGACAGCTCAGCCTTTCTGGCTAGCTCAAGTCGTCAGGGCGTTTGGAGCCTGGCGCCCCACTGGCGACTTACTCCAATGGCCTCCCACTTGCCCCCACGCAGCATGACGGACTTGACCATCCGGTTCACGTCTCTACTGTGTGGGTCGTGCCATGGCAAGCACAGAATTCCGTGACACTTTGTCCTGTGCACGTGCTCGAGCTCTCAGGATGCCGTCCGCCGACAGCTCCCCCCTTTCAGCTTCGCGGCTGCTGTGTGAGTGGGCCGGCCGGCCTGTGCCTGTTGTAGCTCATTAGCTTAGTTCGCGTCCCGGACTTTGCTTTTGCCGCCTGACCTTCGTCTCGCGGCCGCGACCAAACAAGTAACCCCACCAGGCCTGCCAGCAGACGTCAGCAGAAGCGAGCGGCGTTCGCTGCAGTGGAGCCTGGTTCCGGCGACCGCAGGGGGTGTGGTTGCGCCGGGGTGTGGTTTGCGATCGGCACCGCTGGGGCCTGGGGGGCACGACGCTGTCATCGTCGGGCCTCCGCGGGGCGCGGGAGAACTCTATCGAGGTCCCCGCGCGCCTCCGAGGGTGCCCCCCCAGGAGGTTCCCCAGGGTGCCGGTTGCAAACCGCACCCTTTGCAAACCACACCCTTTGGAGTCGTCGATGTTTGCCTCGACGCATTGTATCCAGGCCATTTGCGAGCAGTTGCTTTGCGAGTAGTGGAGCGCGCGCTTCTAGGAGCGAAGTGCGACCCCCGCGCGACGCTCTTCTGGTCCTGGTGACCCGCCCGCCTCGAAGGTGGACGACATGTTTTACTCGGCGGCGAGGGAGGGGAAGGATGGCCTGTCGCTCCGCTCCGCGGAGTGGGAGGCTCGGAAAGGCCCGCGGGGCGTCGAAGCCTTGGGGGCTGCGAGCATGTCGCGCCGAGGAGCGGTGGGCCAGAGCCGGCGGAGCGACACGCGACGGGCGTGTCTCGGCGGCGAGGGAGGCAGGGAAGCGGCAGGGAGAAGGCCTCCTCTCAGGAGGCGCCCGGGACTTCTCAGAAGCCCCCGCTGCTTCTGACCAGCTCTCGCTGTCTTCGGGGAAGCTTCAGAAGCCCTCTCAGAAGGCCGGGGATCTTCCGAGCCTTTGAGAAGGCCCGCCCCTTCTCGCTTCCCCCCCACGGCTCGCCGCCGAGTTTGGGTCTTTTGCGCCCAGCCCTGCTAAACCAGAACTCAGAGGAGGAAGAGGTACCGCTACCGTGTGCTCGCCCCGTCTTGGGATGTGCTGGCCTCCTGGGAGTCCCTCGTCTGCACGGTTGGATTCGGCTCGAAATTCTTGTCAGAAGGCACCCCGGGAAACGCTCGGGACGTACGTAGCGGAATCTGCACCTTCTGGTTCACCCATTCATTCTCAGGCTCACGGAGCGCGCCACCGGCGGTGCTGGAGGCACCACCAGAACCCACCTCCGCGCTCGTTCCAGACGACCCTTCGGCCATGGCCACTTCCGCTTGTGTATGTTTCCCACATTTGGTTGTCCATTTGCCTTGTGCCCTACGGCGGCACACATCTTCCCCGCGCTGGTGACATCATTCCTCACGCTGGTGTGTCATCCTTCTCCTCCTCCTCCTTCTCCTCCTCCTCCTCCTCCTCCTCCTTCTTTGTTCGCAACCAACGGTGCCGCGCCTGGTCTGCGTAATTGCGATCTTCACCCGCAACCTGGAGTGCGGCTGAGCCTGCTGCGAAACTACGGCAGGGCCAGAAATCGCATTCTCAAGAACGCACAGCGGACGCGATCTTCGCCAGGTTTGTTGCTCGGGCCTCAGAACCGGTTGCCGAGAAGTCCCTCGATGCACCTCTGCGCGCCCGTTTGCCAGTCAGATACCATGATCGTGACGCGGCGTGTCTTGCTCGGAGTGGTGGGACATCCCTCTTTGTTCCTTCAATAGCCGCTACTCCCATCATCGTCATTTCATTAGCTATTAGCTCCTCCTGACTTCCTTGCGACGGCTTCGGCCCGTGCGTGCTCAGGCACCTCGCCGACGCGAAGCCAGCAGAGGAGGTCGGTGGAGGGGCTGCCCGCATGCATGGGCACAGGGCGTACAGCAAGAGGATCATCAGCAGGATGAGGCAGGGGTCGACCTAAACGGTGCTTTGGCGATTCCGTAGGCCGTTTTCGTTTCGATCTCGTTTTGCAGCAAAGGCGGATCGAAGACAACACGAGGGAAAACCAACACAAACGAAAACGAATAACACTATTTAGGTCGATCCCTGGGATGAGGAACATAGTAGTCAAAAAGTGGGTGGAGGAAGTGGGTGGAGGACGAGGAGGACTAGGAGGGGAGCAGAGGCGGAGGGGAGGTGCCTGGGTGAGTGACCAGCCGCGCAATCAGCAGGAGGAGGGGGGAGGAGAGGGACGAAAGAGGGAGCTGGAGGAGGAGGAGGAGGAGGAGGAGGAGGAGGAGGAGGAGGATCAGCAGGAGGAGGGGGAGGAGGAAAGGAGGAGGAAGAGGAGGAGGAAGAGGAGGAGACGATGAGGAGGAGGACGGGAGGCTGAGAGGGAGAGAGAGGATAATGGCAAGCTAGGTGCGCAGGCGTCATAGTTGACGTCCTACCCCTCCCTCCCATCCCTTGTCATTGCGTTGATCTCCTCTCTACTTGCACAGTCGGTTGTCGGACAGGGCAATGATTTCGAGAGAGTACGTGATGCATAGTACAGCACGGTTTAGCATGGCATAGAAGATCATGTCCATTGCCGACTTCGTGGCGTCGAGAGCGTGATTCATGTCGACATCAAGGTCAGAGGGAAACCAGGAATGACACTGGACGCAGAATGCAAATGTTCGGTCTGGACAGCGGGAAGCGCAAACTGAGATCAGCGCTGCAGCGGGAGCACGATTTTGAGGGACCACACCGCCGAACATAAGACCAGCGCTGCAGTGGGATAATGAGTTATAAGGACTGGAGGCGCGGAACCGAAGCCAACGTTGAAGCAGGAGCACGACTTAGAAGAACCGAAACCATGAAATAAGGTCAGCGCTGCAGCTGTGGAAGTATGGAGAACTGGAAAGTTGAGCCAACGGTGGCGGGAGCGCCATTTCGAATGGTTTGAATCGTCCGGATTTGAAAAGCCGAGATGAGATATCACGTTCGTGGCATCTTGTGTGTAAGGACACCTCTCCTGCGTCTGCGGGGGAGAGACGAGAGTAGCATTCAAATTGTGTAATTGTTGAGAGAGGCAGTGTGAGGAGAAGGAGGAGTAGGAGGAGGAGGTGGAGGAGGAGAGGGAGCAGGCGGAGATAGACGGGGAGTGGCAAAAAGATCACAAGGCGGTGAAGTAGAAGACGACGACGTCGACGACAACGGCGACGACGATGACGACGACGGCGACTACGACGACGACGACGACGACGACGACGACGACGACGACGCCGAGCAGGGGGAGGAGGAGGAGGGGGAGGAGCAGGAGGAGGAGAAGGATGACATGGAAGATTTTGTTGACGATAGGGGTAATCATGGTGGTCGTGACGGCGATGGTGACGGTCATGGTGGGGGTGGTGACAAGAGTTGTGATGATGATGATGAGGATGATGATGGTGATGATGATGATGATGATGATGATGATGATGATGAGGAGGAGGAGGAGGAGGAGGAGGAGGAGGAAACGCAGAGTTAGGGGAAGGGAGGACGAGGAGGACAGTCGGGAGCAGCGCCGTTAGTAGCACTGGAGCAGCCCCAGCATGTGTGCGCGCGCCAGCCCGCCTTGCGCGCGCCCCACTGCTACCGCGGGAGCGCAGGCCACTTGAGCGGTGGAGGACGACGACGACGAGGAGGGCGAGAGCGACGACGAGAACAAGGGGAGCGAGGAGGAGAGGAGGAGGAGGAGGAGGAGGAGGAGGAGGAGGAGGAGGAGGAGGAGGAGGAGGAGGAGGAGGAGGGGGAGGAAGGAGGGGGAGATTGTGGTGGAGGATACGCTGAGATGGTGGTGGAGGATATGCGAGCGTGGGTACCGCAAGGCAGGTGGGACGAATGAGGGGGACCTCCGCACGGGGCCACGGACCGCGTGAGGAGTGTGCCGGAAACGGGCGCAGGGGCGCATGTGGACGCACCCGCTGGGGCCTTAGGTGGAGATCCTCATCATGGAGCCACGAATCGTGTCGGGGGTATGCCGAAGATGGGGCAGGTGGGCTGGCCACACGTGTAAGAGGTGTGCCGAAATTGGTGGGGGCCGCATGTGGACGCACCCGCTGGGACCTTAGGTGGAGATCCCGATGAGGCCACGGGCCGTGTGAGTGGTGTGCCGAAATGGGCGAGGGATCGCATGCGCACGCGCCCGTTGGGTGCTCAATTGCAGCTCCCTGCGGGGCAACGAAGCGTGTGTGTGTCGAAATTGGCGGGGTGCTGCGGACGCACCCACGCGGACGGGCCTCAGGTGGAGCTCCAAGGGTGTGCCGAGGCGGCGACACGCGGAGGGCGGAAGCAGGCATGGGAGGGGGGGGGGAGGGGGAGAGAGAGCGGGTACGAGGTGAGACGCGGCGCGTCGCGCCTTCCAAACGAGCACCGACACCACGGGCTGGTTGGCAGCAGGCAGTCCAGGCGAGGACGGGGCGACAGGCAGGCGCGGCAGGTGCGCGCGCGCGCGCCCGCGAGCGCCCCGAAGGCGCGCCGCCCCCCCCTCCCGCACGCGAGCGTGCGCCGGGGGGCGTCAGGGCCAGGTGCCGGCCGCGACTGGGGCGGGCCGTGTCCCCGGGGGCGGGCCACCCTCGCAGCCGCGCGCGGCGGCGTCGCGAGCGGAGCGCCGGGAAGGCTTCGGCCTCCTCACCGCCTGGAGTTTGTTTTTTTGTTGGATTCGGGCAAGTTTACTTGCATGGCGTTCGCCCCCCCCCCCCCCCCTCGCCCCTCTTCAAGCGAATACTAGCGTGCAAGTGCCTTTCGACTTGCGTGATTTCCGCCCCCCCCCCCCCCCCGGGCTTGCTTCAGGCTCAGCCCCCCCCCCCCGTCCATGCAAGTAAACTTGCCAGAGTTTTAAAACAAAAAAAACAGGCTCCGGAGATCGAGCTTCGGGGGCCTCGGCAGGTAGCGGATGTGGATGTCGTCGGCCCCCTGGGGGCCAAGCCGTGTCCACCTCCACCGCCCGCGGGGGTCCCATCACGTCATTTCCCCAGGCGCTGGATACGGATAGATTCCCCCCTCGCATGCGTGGCCGCGCTTGGTCGTTTGTTTGGTTGGTTGTCTGAAGTGCCCTTCTCCGGGCTCGCACCCTGTTTTTGTATCCAGGAAAGTCTTGGGTCTCAGAATTGGGCCTCTGAGCCCCCAAGTTGCAACAACAACGGCTCCCGCCTGATGCTTCCTCAATATGTATTCCCAAATCGCGCTCTCGCGCAGGATGCTGTCACAATTTCTGCAGAAATCGTGCTCTCGCGTGGGGATCCCCCGCAATTTATTCAGAGGCCGCGCCCTCGACACTCAGGAGTCACGCTCTCGCTTTGGCCTATCTCACGGTTTACTTGGGAATCGCTCTGTCGCTCGAGACTCGCGATTTATGCAGGACGGACGCTTCAGCAACCCGCCTGCTCGACCTGGCCGCCTGGGCCCGCCTTCCGACCCGCCTGTTAGGTCCTACCCGCCCGACCTGCCCGTCTGGTTCTGACACGTGTTTTCTGCTCCTAGCCCCTCTCCTGCTACTCTTTCTCTCTCTCGTGCTCCATCCTCCTCCCTCCCCCTTGTCTCTTTCTTCCATCCGTACTCTCCTTCCCCTGCCATAGTGGCTGCATGAAATACAAGTTACAGGTAAAGGATATACCCCCAAGGGGGTACGATCGAAGACGAAGAGGGCGGGTGTCGAGTGTTTGGGACATACGTGTTGAATGGCACGCACGCGCACAAGAGCCAACACTCTTAAAATGATTGGTGCTGCTGGTGTTGCTAGTGTTGTTCATGTTGCGTTGCTTGTTGTTTGCTGCTTGTTGTTGTCGTCCTTCCATCCGCTAGCCACCCGCGACCCACCCGCGACCCACCCACATTGGTTTAACTGAGAATTCGGCGCTTACGGCGGGGTCGTTGTATGATTTGAAAATGATGCACTTGCGGCGTGCTTCTTCAGAGCCTCGCAGGCTGCCGACTTCCCGCCGCCCCCTGACTCTTATCCGCTACTGCGCAGTGCTACGTAATACTGGTAACTGAAACTGTTGCAGGGTGCAGGGAAGCCTTAACTTCGCAGGCTGTTGGCCCCCGAGGGGGCCGGCGGATTTGGTCTTATCAGTGTGGCCGTTGGTATGTCTTCCGTTGGGAACTTGCCTGGACCTGGACAGCTCTCATGAGCGAGATGCTTCTCTTCTTCGTGCCTCCGTGGGCGCTCTCGACCTTGGCTTCTCTTCCGATCGTGCCGTGTCCCAAGTCGCCGCGACCCAAAAAGGTTCCTACGACGGGTCAGGGCCCATGTGGATTATCAATTTGAGCGGTCCGGTTCAATACTGATCTCGCGCGGCTCGGTCCGACTCGATTTTGACGTCCGGGTGATCCGATGATGTCCGATGTTTACACGGCTCAAATTGTGAGTCCAGCCGATTCCATTCTACCTCGATTTCGTGCCGATGCAGCCCGATCCGACACAAGCTCTCAGGCGACTCGACTTTGCGGTTCGATGCTAGCTGCTCTTGACAGGTTCAGGACGCGGCGCTTGCGCGTGCAGTTTCGAGGTTGAATGCCCCCAGGAGCCCTTTCGGGCCCGGGACGCTTAGAAAAGGTACCCTCGGCCACAAGATGCCAGCGTTCGATGGGCTCGACGCCTTCTGGGGACCTTTCGAGGGCGGAGACTGTTCACGACTGGACAGCTTTTCAGCGGTGTGACAGACACCATGAGCATTGTCGTCGAGGTGCGGACCTACAGTCGCATCGAGGTATTAGATCGAGGTCTGTTCGGCTAGGGTGCCCTAGTGATCTTCGTGTGTCTTGGATGTTCTTGTGCGTCCTATAGGCAGGGTGCCCGCGGATGGTCTGTGTGTCTTGGTCCGCGGAGGGTCTCACGTTCTTGAAGGATGTTTTTTGGGTCTAGGTCCGATTGTACCTCAACCGACAAGCCAGGCTCGGCACCAATCTCGAGAGATTGGCGATGCAGGGCAGATCCCACCCTACGAGTCATCAACACGCCTTCTCCTACGCGGCACCCTCTCGAGAGATCGTAGGCACGACAGGTCCATTCAATGGGGCCCGGTGGCACAGCTTCCCCGGTTGCGGCTGGCTGGAGCCATGGGGCACGTGGGGGGGCCGGACCCCGCCGCGCTCCAGCTCGAATGCAGGCCACGCTGGTCTTTCGGCGAAAGGGGGGGCACTGCCAGCAGGCCACCGGGGGAAGGCGGAGGACGAGGGAGGCTCGAGAACAGATGCAGGGAGGGGGGAGGGAGGAGCAGGGATGGCATAGGAGGGCAGAGGAGGGGGGGAAGGACAAGCTGGATGTATCTGACGTCCTACCCCTCCCTCCCGTCCCTTACCATGGCGTGTATCTCCTATTCGCACAGTCGGATGTCATAGCAGGGCACAGCATTGTATGGCATAGCATGATGTTGAAGATCATCGCGTAGCCTGACATAGCATGGCGTGGCGACGCCCCGAAGAGGGGGGGCTTCTGCGGCCCAACAAATCACCGAATCGACACCGAATATGTGATCACATCCGATGGTTGTCTTGAGGGCCATTTTCTAGATTTTGGAGCCTATCTGGCAGGACCGGAAGCCATGCCGTGGCATGGCGCTAGAAATAATGACGCCAACGCTGCAGCGGGAGCACAATTCGGAACGAGCGGAAGCGCGGAAATGAGGCCAGCGCTGCAGCGGGAGCACGATTCGGAGGACGCGTAGCCAGACATAGCATGGCGTGGCGACTCACCAAAGTGAGGGGGGGGCTTCTGCGACCCAAAAATCAAATAATCGACACCGAATGTGCAATCACTTCCGATAGTTTTTGTCGGGTTTTTTAGATTTGGGGCATATTTGAAAGTAACGCAAACCATGCCGTGGCATGGCGCTGGGAATAATGACGCCAGCGCTGCAGCGGGAGCACGATTCGGAACGAGCGGAAGCGCGGAAATGAAGCCAGCGCTGCAGAAGGAGCACGATTCGGAACGAGCAGTAGCCTGAAAATGAGGCCAGCGCTTCAGCGAGATCAGCTTTTTGAAAAACATACCAAGCGAAAAGCTAACTCCCGGGAATCCTGTGTGCAAAAAACCCGTACGCGGTGGGGGGCCGAAAATTTCCCCGACGTCACCAGGGGAGAGAGGAGAGTAGTATTTATATTGTGTAATTGTGGAATGGGAGGGGGGGAATGAGGAGGGGAATTAGTGGGAGGGTGCGGGAGGCGCAGAATGACGATAAGGAGGATCCAGGGTGACCGTGTCCATGATCTATCGCTTGCCTGTGCCCGCTCCTGCAGGTACCTCTTCGTGCCCCCTCCAAAAAAGAGACGCAACAGAGTTGACAGAGCAGGTGACAGCAGAACGGTCGGGTGTCCGAGCGTGCGACTATCGCCCGGCACCCCGAACGACTGGGGACGCGTAGCAGGAGGGGCACGGTCAGGGTCATCGTTAGCGTGTCGCGACGCCGGTTGTGGCCCACAACGCTCCGACGCGACTTGCTAAGCAAGCACGTCCCGCCAGACAAGCATCAACGCTCCGAGATTTCCCCATCCTCCCGTTCCACGAAGCAAGGCGGCACGCCACCAGCTT